CTATCCTGCTGTTGTCTTAACAGTTCTGACTGTTGGGCACCCTTCTGCATCAACAATTCAGCTTGTTGAGCGCCTTGTTCTCTCAACAGGTCACCCTATTGAGAACCTTGCTCCTCTAGCAAGATGAGTTTCTTTACAACTTCGTCAAGTTCATGTTGAATGAACTTGGCGATGGTTGCATGTTGGCCGTCTCCGCTAAGAGAGAGCAACATGGCACCAACGGCAGGGTTGTCGATGATTTCAGCCATAAGCTGAACCGCATTCCATTCGAGGTCACTCAAATGGCGGAAATCATCACCCGCTGAGTCCATAGCGGATAATGCGGTGGTCGCTGAACGGACCACGAAGTGCTACCAGGTGTAATGGGGCACCCACCGACTATACTGATAACAGTATAGTCTACCTTCACTGATGACATTGAAAGCAGGTGCCTCAATTACCTCACGTACACGTGAGCAGAGGAAGTCAATCAACTAAATACACGCTTAGTTGAGAAGGAAAAGGAAACTGTATTTAATATAGTTAACTATCTAATAAAACTAATCTGTTATAACCTATGTTAACTATATTAAACTACAACTATGTATGTTGACAACTTGCCCTTCACTCATTGCGCGCGTCCATCGGTCATTGGTCAGCGCGTTGGTTGATATGATGGCCCATATTAACCAATTAAAGAGGCATCTCCAACTTCAAGGAGATCTAGGGACAATATTATAATAAAAGATAATATTGTCAAATATCATTAGTTATAATAATATTTTTAATGACACTTCATATAAGTGTCAATATTATGTAACGGGCTCACCCCGTTAAGGAAAGCAGCGCGCTGATGGTTTTAAAGCGATACATGACATTGCTGAAACAGTGTCGTAGTCGAATGACTTTCTCGCGCAGTATCTTCAAGGCAGCAGAAATTAAAATGCAGAGAAGCGACGCGGCGTGCGAAGCGTAACGAGAGTGATTTTCTGCGTCGAACGGCGGTCGCTAATTTTAAGTACGAGTTGAAGATCCAAAGGTTGGACCTGAAGGAGCGCAAATTGCCCCTTCAGGAAGTAGCCATACAAAAAAACGAATCGGGTGATGAACAATTTCTACTGCTAACAATAAATGATTACGCTTTCAGTTTAGGCTTAGGTTATGCGGATTTCAATTGAGTGTCCATTAGTCGTGTCATAACCTGGTCGGGTTGGGGTAACGCCCTCCCGGAAGGCCTGAGCTAGCGTAATGCTAGTTGGGCCTTGGACGGATGCTTCGCGGTATCCGTCACTTTAGGACGGGCCTCTCTCCCTCTACACACCTCTCTCTTGCTGCTCTCACCCCCAGCCGCCAGTCAAGCCGCCACGATGTACGCCGCCACGATGTACGCCGCCACGCTCGAAGTCCCGAAGTCCCGGCATCTCCGATTAGGTACGCTCGCATAATCCTTTGTTCCACGGTGCAAGCAACAAGGTACCCTCCCTGGGTAGGACCTATTGACAAGATAGACATCCAAGGGATCCAAGCAAGAAACCTACCGCTGGACACCGCCGTCGACTGGCCCCAGACCTGCACCTCCTTTGCCGGTGTGCAAAGGATCGTGCAGCCTGGACGGCCTTCAGCGCGCCGCTTAACGCGCCGCTTAATGGACCCTGGCGAGAATAGAGAGAAATGTAGAGAAGAGAGATAACCCGACGCATGCGGAAGTTGAGCCACTTTGGTGGCAAGACGGCTCGCGTAACGCGTTAACATACATAACATACATAGTCGTGTCATATTGTCGCATGAATCTTTTACTTCCTCGCGAACAATATTGTTGCCCAATGGTCGAAGCATAGTTGGGTCGCGGGGCACTCATGCACCGTACTTCACGCCCAATACGGAGATTCCACCACGGTAGCCACAAGTCATAGTTTCTGGCATTCAAAGTGTTGTGAATTATCATACATGCGAACGTAATATTGCGAGCTTGTTTCGAAGCGGCGATGTGGAGGTCATTAGAATCATAAACCTGTTTTTAAGGGGTCCAAAGGCGATTGTCTACAATCATCCTAGGAGCGAAGGTGAGCGACATTTCTGCGTGTAATTTCTTCACCGAATGGGAAAATTAAATCGAATAATTGTACCTTTCTGGCGAGTGACAGAAGTTGAAATGCGTCTTGTCCTCATGACCTGTAGAGTTTGGGTATGGCGGGAGGACCCGCTTGCTTGTGGGGTAGCCTGAGCTCTCTATGTAACATGATTTGAAGGAGTGCTAGTATATATGACTAGGTGGAATCGTAATTTCAAGTTACCAATCATAAATTTGTCGGTTGCGAAGATCTGCACGCCCGCTGCGGGATCTCTGCCTATTTTGCTTCGGCGAAATAATTGCTGGTCATGAATGGATCCCAAGATTCTACCATATACTTAGAAGATAGATGCATTGAATCTTAGTATATTGGAACGGCTATAGGTGAATATCCAAAATACGCACAATTTAAAATTCCCTTGACCTTCCAACACAGCTTGACAATAAATTGATGCCCAACCTTTGCGATTGATGAAGCTCTTCTATGGGTCATTAGGAGGTTTTCTGATATTTATCAATCGCACCTACGATCCCGTAAATCCCCTGCTTCATTAGAAAAAAACTGAGTGATATCTTGTCACATAGCACCGTCCATCAAGCTGGGATACGCCACAGCTCTGCACGTCAAAAATATTATCAGCTACTATGGTAGTGATCGTGTTGGCGGTTTATTTGCAATCTTTAAGATGTGGATGATTGTGACGAAGGTGCTGCCATGGCCAAGGCGGTACAGGGCAACTGCCACTTGTATCTCAACCGACAACGGGGCACCTCTGCCGACGATGTCCTTTTGAAGAGCGGCCCTGAATTGGTCAACTAGCCAAAAGAAATCTGCTCGTTCCATTCGGACCATCTGAATGAACTATGTTTCATTAACAAATGAGCATTTAAAAGGGTTGTACGGCGGACGTCGATTGACTGCTTCGCGTTGTTTGTGGAGGTAACGAACGTAATAAGTGCCACTACCAGTGCTTTCTGCTGCTTTTGCCTAAGGAGGAATAGTGATAGTATAGGTTTGATACGGCCCATATGATCTACTATGGAAGCAGAAAGTGACCAAGCCCGATCAAAGACATCCCGACTAATTAGAATCTACATACCGTCCTGTAAAACGCGACCTACTGTGCTGTATGCAGCTTTGGCGTGATGATTTGGTGTTGGGGGCAGTAGGTAATTTGACGCTTCTGTCAAGTTCAGCTAATTCGAAAAAAATTTGTTTTAATACAGTATATAGCCGTTTGGCGTCGACATCATATTAATTTCGATTTTGGACCCTGTTTCTGGTGCTGGTCTGCGAAGGGGTTTCTAATCGAAAACTTTCTGATATTTTTACGTCTATAAAAATTGCGATTAAAACGAGCTAAATATATGGGAGCTACAAGCGCTTTAGTTAGACCTAAAAAACTCTAAAGAAAACTCAGAAATAGTTTATAATCTTGAGCTAAATCTCAATGCGACTCATAATGCGAGCTTGAGCGCTATAGTTTCCAAAAAGCTTTGTCAGCGTGTGATGGTATTGGTGTGTAATAGTTGCCCTTCGAATTAGGTATCAGAAGCCACTTCATATGTATCAGCGAACATCATAAACCCATTCTTCTATCCAGCATCCAGACTACGATTGTTTAGCGATATTGGAGGAGTTATGTGGCTTAGAAGTTTAATTTGCCTCAGTATCGATATAATCAAGTCTTTAAAGGTATAACCAAGCATTTATACATTACACAATTCCATTTGCACTGCTCAACTGTCAATGTGCTTCTTTTCCAACAACAGTTTACTATTCGTTTATAATATATCCAATTCTTCAATCAGAAATGACGTGAGAGCACCGATACATTTTGTAGAGCGTTGGCCAAAACCGTTAGGTTATCGTATTACAACACCAAACAAAATGAACACCATGCGCTGGTAAAGTGTCAATCGGATACGGATCTGATGATTTTTTAAATGTTCTGCCGTTTCATTTACCTCTAATATATATAGCGCTAATCCAGGTCGGGTTGGGGTAACGCCCTCATAGAAGGCTTGAGCTAGCTTAATGCTAGCTCAGGCCTTGGACGGATGCTTTCGAGGCATCCGTTAGTTTTTGACGGTCCCCTCCCTCTACACACCTCTCTCTTGCCGCTCTCATCCCTAGCCGCCAGTCAAGCCGCCACGATGTACGCCGCCACGATGTACGCCGCCACGCTCGAAGTCCCGAAGTTCCGGCATCTCCGCTTAGGTACGCTCGCGTAATCATTTGTTCCCGATTCAAGCAACAAGAGACCCTCCCTGGGTAGGACCTATTGACAAGATAGACATCCAAGGGATTAAAGCAAGAAACCTACCGCTGGACACCGTCGTCGACTGGCCCCAGACCTGCACCTCTTTTGCCTGTGTGCAAAGGATCGTGCAGCCTAGACGGCCTTCAGCGCGGCGTATACGCTTAATGAACCCTGGCGAGAATAGAGAGAAATGTAGAGAAGAGAGATAACCCGACGCATGCGGAAGTTGAGCCACTTTGGTGGCGAGACGACTCGCGTAACGTGTTCACATACATGTAGCGCTATGTGGAAGTCTCGTTATAAAGTCAATGGAGAAATATAAAGCACTACGAAGATGAAGAGAATGGTTCATTCGTGGGAGGTTTTTATATAATGCAAAACATGTTTGTGAGTATATACTTTAGACATGATCTTGTACTCGAAGAATTCGAATGAAGGTGTACTATTATGCAGGTGTTTCTTCGTTGCGTGCAGCTTGTGTTGTTGGAACTTTATGTGATGGCAAAAACCTTGAGATCTTGAAAGGATTATATCAGTAGTAAGGAATCCTCTTGACAAAGACGCATAACAAAACAATAACTGAAATCATTGGGAGCAGGTTTTTGATTTGTTTTATCAATTGCTTTTCTGTAGTAAGTCTACTGCTTCCCTAAGCCATGCGCTTCATTCAGATTACTTGCCATTTCCTAACAACCCTCAGCGTCAAGTGACATCGTCTCTAGAGCTTTTAAAACACTTTTGTTCTCTTCGTCTCCCGTAGCAAAGACCAGATCCGTAAATTCGTTGATGACGGGTGTATAAGTCATCAAACTGGTGAAGTGCATCGGTACGCGCCGTATGCATGTCTCCAGGATTGTCCCGCCCATGGAACTATCTGTGGATGGTCGAACAACACACCATCCAGTCTCGTCGGAATGCATCCCTTGAAACAGTCCTTCACCTTCAGAAAACACCTTCCACACGACGACAACGCGATTGACCTCTTGAAACCGACGAGCAGCAGTTCGCTGCAGCAACGACACAGTTTCGCCCATTCGACGGCTTGTGATTCGAAACTTCATCGCTATTATATTGCCCGGGTCTTCCATCGTTTCATAAATTTCTCGGTCCTCTTGTCGGTGCTTTAGCTGAGCCCAATGCCATAATGACTGACAGATCTGCTTGTATTTGAATGGCAGTGTTTGTCGGTCAGCTTCCTGATAGTATTCCGTTTCTTTATCCTTGAATCTGGTAATTGCCGGAAACTTTTTCGTCATGGACGAATTGCAGGCAGTGATAACTTCATCAGTTTGCAAGTAGACAGTATGAAGTTCTCGAATAAACGTGTGAAATAGCGCCGAATCGGTCGGTGTAAGAAGCATTCGCTTTTTAAGTCGCGGCGTGTCTCCAAATTCATCGTTTGCAACCGATCCATCGTGAAGTCGCTTCTTCAAAAGTCCACACATGTTCTCAATCAATGTGGTTCGTGAACTGATGGCAGCTCGTAGCTGCTGCTGTTCCTTCTCAGCATTTTCAAGATGATTCTTTTGTCGAGACGCAATGGATTTCCATAAATAGTTCAAAAGTGCACCGTCAGTGGATGGGGATGTCCGACCAGCGTCTGTTGAATCCTGTAACTTGTCAAGTTTAGCGGATAACTCGTCAATCTCTTTACGTAAAGAATCCTTTTCCTCCTTTTGTCGCTTGCGATATTCACTACGTCGAGCAGCATCCTTGGATCGACGTTGTTGTTGTTGAACGGTTAAGCGTTCCGAGTTAGCAGAGGCTGGCATAACTGGGGTCACAGCATTGTCGACTGGAATTGGTTCGAGGGGAAGCAAAGTTGGCATGAACGGATCTAGAAGAGATTCCACGTCCGGATAGAAATCATCTTGATGCAAATCATCACATGTTACTGCAGTTGAGAGAGCAAATTCATCGGATGTCTGAAAGAAGTCGACCAATTCGTCAAGTACCAAGTCGTCCATCACTTTTGATTTTCAACAATGATGATCTCGAGTACTTAGAATTTTGGAAGGTGAGAAATAGAGGGACTGGCTTCGTAACGAAGTATAGAGATGAGAAGTAAAATTACAGCATCCATATACGCAATCAGAGCGTATGCTTCGTAATCAATGCAGCAAGAGTGAACATATAGATTTGACATTATAGAGAACTGCTGAGATATTCTCGATTCAACATACAAAGCTTAAATTTAGAAATATAGGATGGCTTGCTTGTTTTAAACAACTATACTGAACAAAATGTGCGTGATTGTGTCGAGGTTTACAATGTTAATTGTCCCAATGGAATCAAGCATTAAGCAAAAGATTTAATCGCTTTCACGAGACTTCTGTCCATAGCTATCAGTGTTAACTGATTTACAGGCCTCTTCAGATTATGCAATATAGTAATAGATACCTAATCTGCCTAATTTAAATAAAGTAAAATGCCTAACGTGCATCGAAATCTGTAGTAGTATTGTGCTGCAGATTCATCTGGCCAAGTGGGCAAAATATCAGCTCAAGTCCGACTTTGACAAGTCGGCATGTTCGACGTTACAATCCCGTTTGTCAATACAATCGTATCGCATATAAATTTGAAGGGAGACCACATCACCTACCGTAATGACAACACGTTATTGAAGTCGTCATAAAAAAATGCTGTGAGATCCCGAGGACGTAGAAATTCTTAAGTTGAAAATGCGATGCGCATATTCACTCGTGAAGAGCCGTTAGGTGACTACGACGTCTACATCATCCATGGTCGACCCGCCTTTGCCAGTGTCGTCGCTTTTAAATTCCACCGCAACTTCCAACATTGGGGACCACCCTGTCGCCGCCGCTTCTTCTACAACAGATTCACCCGGTGCTTTTGCCCCATTGGTCTCCTCGCTTAATGATTCGATCTTCACGTTGCCCAACCTTATCCGAGTGCGCGAAGCTGCATGACCTGCAGCTGACGTGGATGCGCAATCTCGCCGAGTTAAAGCTTGCGAAGGTCGACTAGCTGCATTTCCCTCTCCTGCCATCGACATGACCGCCCGGTGTGAGCGCATAGAAGCGGAATCACACGACAACTGCCGGCTGGTGGCCTAGCTCCATGACGACCTTCAACAGGAGAAGGCGCTGTTAAACCACCAACGGAGGACCATCGACTATATTTAAAGTCGATACCCCCTTTTAGCTGCAGAACTCGACCTCGCTACTTACTCAGGTGGGCTGCCCCAAGGTCCAACTCCGTCTTCTTTGCCTCCGTCCACAGCTGCGGACTCATCTTTGAAATAGATGAAAGTTTTTGGCAAGAGGTCCAAGCGGCATTCTTCGCGCGAGTCTGCCAAGTCCAGAAAGTCCGTTAAGTCTGGCAATTCGTCTACCCCAGTGTCCGCAGTACTCTTGTCAGGGGTTTCTATCGGCAGCTCTCCAATTATGCTAGATTCCTCCGAAGATGATCCAAGTGACGACAACGAAGTGATCCTAACGGTCCTGGCGAAGTCTCGGTCTTCTGTTCGTCGTCCTGCGGCCAAACGTTCTGCGGTTCTTCCGTTCTCAGCCGTCTCTCCCGTGAAGCCTGCTCTGAAGCCGCAACCCTCCTTGAACCAGTCAATGTTTGGGTCCTTCGACTCGTAGAGCGAGTCGGTATCCAATAAAAATCTTCCCCTGAAGCTGCGATCTATTACTATTCAACCCCTGACGACTCAAGCTTGCTTCCCAAGGGATTATTATCCCCGGGTAAATGCAGCCTAATATTTTCTCCGCAGCGGAAGTGGCACTCTGGTCATTCGACTTGGTCATCTCTTGTTGTGTTACCACGATGACGCCCAACGACTTGGTCGATCATCTTGATCTTCCTTGGGGATAGTTTAAACCACCCGACGGGAACGTAGACCATCCCCCCAAATGGAAATTATCGTTGGTCATCCCCTCCATGGTCCAGAACCTCCTGGCTACCAAGCCGTGGAAAACTTCCGAGGTATCGCTTCCGCCCCTATCCTTTCAACAGGTAGGCTGGTTCTTCAAGTTGGTCTCGCGGTACAACCAGTTTTAAAAACGACCTTAGCCAAGATCTTTCGGAGGCGACCCACTGTGTGTGGATCTCGAAGTACAATGCGCGTTTAACTCGTTCCTCGCATCATACTACAAGGTGCGTAAGATACGTCGAGGTAGGGCAACTCGTGCGTGGCGGGATGTGATCGACTTAATCTTCGTAGGAATGAGCGACGGCCGATGTGACATCGTCATCCTATTGGACCCCTTCTTCAGGCGCCTTCCTCGGCGTCGCTGCGGGTGTTGAGATATCTCGGTCGTGAGGAGGGATCAGATCTAGTCGACTTGCTATCAGCCCTTCAGGTGTCGGACTCCGCGTGGCCGTGGCTCACTCAGTATCGGCTGACATCCGTGCCTCATCCTGGGACCTTGTTCCCTCGCATCAAGGTTAAGTTTAAGTCCAACTTCTTAGGTTTCCCTATGAACACGAGCATTCGTTCTCTTCCTGACTTCATTTTGGCATTTTCTATCTTCCATCTCTTTTGTCATAATTACTTCTGTGTCAAGGTAATCATGTCAGTTCTTCCTTCTTCGTTCTTCTGTACAAAGGGCCTTATTCGTGAGGGGACGAAGCCCTTCATAGGAGATCCAGGTCTACCGATGAGGGACCGGGTCTAGTGATGGAGGACCGGGTCTACCGATGAGTGACCAAGATCTACCGATGAGGTACTGGGTCTACCGAAGAGGGACCTGGTCCTTCAATGGGAGACTATGGTCTACCTTCCAAGAGTCCCGGTATACATCGCTAGTTCTCATGACTTTGCATCATTTCGAAACGGTAATGGATCGTCTTCTTGCGCTCTAAATCCCGGAGTAAGGCTCCACAATTCAAATCAACTTTTTCTACCCACGAGGAGCCAGCTTGCCCCTTCCAAAGGACGAGAAATTTTCGTTGCTGCCGTCCATACCGAGTATTCTTACCTGTGCGACTTTCCAAAATTACTTCGACTTCGTACTCACCTTCCTCCAGCTTCCGTCACCCTATATCTTATGGTAACAAACATTTGTCGAAAAATCGACCCGGCCCTCTCTGTCTATTCTAGCTCGCCGTTGGGTCGATCAGCGAACTCTCTGACAGGCTTGAGCTTGGAGAGGTGCACAATTGGGAATAGTCTGTATTCCGTGCATCGTAGCTCCAAACGTTCTGCATGATCCGTGACCAATTCCAGAACCTGGAAAGGTCCGTGCCAGAAGGGGGGCCAGTTTTTTGGTGTACCTTTCCTTCACCCGGTCTAAGTATAGCCATACCCGGGCCCCTGTCTGAATGACTACCCCTTCGTTATGCGCTTGTATCCGAGCCTGTCTAGATGCCCGTAGGTTCTCGTTAACTTTATCCCTTGCTCGCTGATAGTGGCTCTGAATGCGATATTTCCATCTCCGATGTCCTGATTCCCGACGTCGAGTATTCACCACTGGTAACATGGTTTCAAGAGTGGTCCTAGCGTCTCAATCATACAGAAGATAAATGGTGTTTTCTCCCGTACCCTGCCGTGTGCCGTGTTTAACGCGAGCTTCAAACGTTCTGAATACTCATCCTAGCCTCGTTGCTCTGCGTCGGCCACATACATCTTGATCGACCTGGTCAGAGTCTGGACCATTCTCTCCGCACTATCGTTCGTCTGAGATCGGTAGGCTATGGTCGCTTGCTGACGTTGACCCGCCATGCGGCTAAACGCTCGGAAGAAGTTTGAATGAAACCGCGGTTTCCGATCGTGACGAATCACCTCACTGGCTCCAAAACGGCGGAAAACACATCCGTGATACCCCTCGGCTACTGTCTGGGCCGTCCATTAAGAACTGGTTTCCAGCCATCACATAACGGTGAACATAGCGACCTAGATGAGCACTTCCGTATTTTCTTTGTACGACTTGGTCAGAGAGGGTATATGGTCCATCGCGATGGTTTCAAAAGGGTACGTCGCTTCGACATTGCTCGGAGTCTTCCCTTGTAAGGTAGGACTCTCTTTCCCAGTCTCGCAATCCATGCAACGACACACATACATCTGGACACTCCGAAACAGACCTCTTCAATGACAGTATCGCCGGATTCGATAGTAGCTACGTCCGATTTACTGATGACCGCTCTCTAGACTGGTATGATAGTGATGAAGGACGTCGGCCTAGAGACTCTCGGTATCACCAATCTGACAGTTATCTCTCGGTCGTCTCTCTCGATTCTCTGACCGGGGCACTAAACTAGCAGTTCTTCTTCACTTATCTCGTAGTCTCCAGACATTTTGATGCAAGTACGAACCGATTCCACAGACAGGTCACTCCAGTCTTTCTTCAAATATGCCTTTCACTCTCGTACCCAGCTCTCTTCATCTTGCACATCTCGAATTCGGTCCACTCCGAGTCGTTGTGCTACGTTTTCTTGCATAACTTCTCCATATTTTCTCACGAGGGACCGTGACCAAGTCATCGCGAATAGCGTGACAGATGGACTTCATTCTTTAGGTACTAGCACCTCTACCAGCCGATTGATCGCTTCTAGACATGGCCATTCTTCCTTTGGTATTGACTCGATCATTTTGTGTTGGTGCAAAGCCGCACTGACCAACTGGTTCGCGCTCTGATTCCAGTCTCGTTTCATGCATGGGAGGTCCACGACTGGAGCTTGCTTAATGCCTTCGCCCGTAACGGGGATAAACTTGAAGCCATACACTCGATCTATACACGCATCTGTCTTAAAACCAATTTGATCTCCACAGATAATCAGCCGACGTCGCTCAAGAGACTCTAACATTATTATTAACCTCCAAGCATTACGGTTCCTCCATGAAAATAGGCGATGAACATAAAACAAGTGTAATACGTTCTTTCTGCTACCACAATATGATACCACCCCATATGAGCAGTAGGGTGAGGCAATCTGACTTCATAGACGTAAATCAAGTGACCGCGCGGCAGCCTTCCTGGACTCGCCAAAGTCTGCGACGCGGTTGAGGAAGGCAGCCTCGCGTTACTGTCCACCATGCATTGCTTGCTTACTACCTCTTAGGTGAGACTTGTTCGATATTTATCCAAATGGAAAGCTGGGAATCCCTAGCGATGCATCTTCGTCGCCGAAACAAAGCGAACGCAAGCGAGTGGTACACGTACACGCTGGGTCATGATTAGAAGAGAGAATGTTGGGTGCCGCACTTGAAGCGAGGACTGTGTGAGTCTCACGGTCGCTTGATCCACGTGATCCAGAATTGCCGGTTCGATTCGATGTCGCAAGAAATGTACCATTAGAACGAGTTGCAAATGAACGCTTTGTGATAGTCAGGTACTTTCAAATGTAATATTATACCAAGTAGATTAATCTGACCATTCGTGATGCGATTTTTCGCGTGGCTTGCGTGCTGTTACAACCCGTAAGGGGAGAGATCAATGAAGATTTACAAGCGAGCTTGGTAGAATCTGATATAACCTTAACTTGCATTTTCTTCTGAGTACAGTGGTGAGCGATGCGCCTTTTAAAAAATATGCATTACAATATCGATTATGTTCCCAAAGCATGGAGCCATGTATCTGTGCTGGTAATTGACAGCTAAAAACAAACATATAAGCGTCCTTAAAGTACTAGCAGCGTGTTTGAACATTACAGGTCAAAATCCAGCAACATGCCCTCATTTCCGCCTCATCCACTGTAAATTTAGCGAGGTACTTCGAGGCAGCCTCGACAATAGTTCATGTAGGAAGTCTCCATACAATAGCGCTACAGGCCCCTCCTCCTTGCTTCACCCGGGTCGACCTATCGAAACTCATTACATAGGGTTCTTCGTCAGGTTCAACCGTGGGCGTAGGTAGGTCGATCGTCTATCTGGATTGCTTCCTAGAAGCAATCGACGACAAAATTCAGTCCACGTTTTCTCGAAATGTAATGTTGGCTGCCAACGTTCCCAGCACATCCTATAGCACTTGACAATATAGAACGTCCACTGGGACAAGAGAGCAGCACACTCCCCAAACGACCCTGCAACACGGAGAATATATCTAGCCATGCTAGTGTAGAATGTCTCTTCAGAACCTTGAGGGGTCGGGCGAACAACATCGTGAAACAGATCTCCAATCTTCGTAACAACGCCAACACGTCATTTTCCACCGTGCTATATCTTCATCTCATTCGACTAGAGGGTACGGCTCGTGAACATAACTGACATAAGCAGGCCGTCGCAATTCTGCACCAATGACGCCGAGATGGCCCATTCACTTGCGTATACAATAATTACCGCCTCTGTAGACGGGTAGAAATGTCGTAGAATGGGTGCTGTAGCAATATTGTTCATGAGCATGGCAAACGTTACTTGGACCTTGGACCATTTTTCTTCGTCTTCTCCCTTGGCCGTCGCTCCATCGTTAGCCTTCAACTTTCACCCCCACGCGTGGAAATTATACCTCTCTCAGTTCATAGAGGATCGATGCGTATATGGCATAGTCTTCGATATATCTGCTGTAGTAATTTAGGCTTTCAAGAATTAATTACATTACATAGCCTCGTTGTCAGTAAAGGTAGGTCGACCAAAGATTGAAGGTCTTTTGAATGGGCCTCTAGTCCCTCCTTGGAAACTCGATGTCCAAGATACTCGACCTTCCGA